ATCAGAGACGTGACTCCACCCCATCCAGTCTGTAACAAAGAGGGAAAGACAGATGAGGAGATGGAGGACGGTTCAAAAGTTGTGGCGGCTGAAGGAGACAAAGTTAATGTGGGAGGGGGTGAGCTGCTTGTGGAGTAGTTATTGTTCATTTATTGTTATCGAGCTGAACTACTCAATATATCATAATATTGATTTGAGGTCATATGGCCCAGCCCTAACACACATGTAAGTAGTAGTGCATACTTAGTCGTACAAACAAATCCCTTTTAAATCAATCAAATCATTTGAAAAATAAACATTTTGTGTGAACTGCAGGTACCCACTCACCCTCTATATGTACAGGCTCTACCAAAGATGATTCAAAACTATTATATATGTTTAAATGAAAAGGTTTTAAGTCTATTCAGTGAGCCAGGCACAGCAGCCATAAGCTCTGCATACTGTACATCAAACTGTAGCCATTTAGTCTCCACATTATGGCTTGCATAAAAACTCAGAATAAATTCCCTTTCAGCATTTTGACAGCAGCTATTCAGATACTTAGCCCTCACACTCTGCAGTCATATTCCTCAGCCAGAATCAATTGCGTTGGCAACCAATGCCAAGCGCTGCGTTTTATCTCCCAACTGGGAGAAAAAAAAGCATAAGGGAAGGGAACACAGCATGGAGATATGCTGTTTATCAGTCACAACACTAATTCTCTCTCCCATCTCTCTTGGTTCTTCCTTTGAAAGTGAACTTGGTATTAATCAACAAGACCTTGAGCGCCTTATGCACACAATCAGCAGTGACGTGACCCTTTTTTTTCCCTCTTTTTTTTTCTGGTCAATCCCTGACCTTTTGAGTGCCGCCCACAATTTAATTAGTACTCTACTAAAAGCTGCTCAGTCTCCCCCCCTTTTCAGCTCATATTTCCCCTTTTGTTCTTTGCAGCTCCTTTTTTCCGTGCCCAATGAAATCTATGGGAGATGTACCACATTCAAGCAGTGATTGAGTATCAGTGGTGGAGTAGCAGTTTATTGTAACTGGTTGGGAAATTACAAGGGCTTAAGTGTCAGACACATATGCCTGCCAAATGTAATCAGTGGGTAATAAATGTTTGCCCTTTAAACTTAGAAAAAAGCAACGGCGGTGCTGGATGTGCGCTCGACTCATGGCTGCAGATTACTGTGTGCTGGTAGCTGTAATTAAAATGATTTCACTGCAGAATTCACTCCTATCTTCATCCATGACTCCTTCCACACTTCTTCACCACCTTCCTATCATTACTGCTTTTATGACAATATGATCAACTCTAACCCAAAATGCTCTTTTCTTTTTGTCCTGCAGCTCTTGAACTGTCGGGAAGGTTGCTTGAGCGCTGAAAGGTAAGCTTTTGCAATTACACCCTAAATTCTGTTTTAAAATGGACAGCAAAAGGCCTGTCATAGCATTATAAGCTGGGTTTCTATGCGTGCTCAGGCTCCGAGCTGTTTTAACGCCGGTTGCAGCAGAAACAGAGCCTCGGAGGACAGAGCGTGAAGGCCCCTTGCTCTTTCTCTCCCTACTGTTTAATTAGCATGGTCTCAGAGACTGGGGGTGCCGCTTTAGCAATCACGAATCCTGCGCAGCCAATAAGAACTTGTGTTCAAGCACGTCTGACAGAGATAAATGGCATGCTGCAACATCTCAGCCTCACCCATCATCTCTTTTAGCCATGCAAATAGTGCATTGTGGGAAGACGAAGGGAGTCAGTGGGCATTTTTGGTCGTTTGTTAACATCGTAAATCCACATGGGGTGCTTTTTCTGAGTGTTTGTGTGTGCGACTAAGTTGCTAAATTCACCACAAATGCCTGTTTGTTTTCCGTGCATGGTGTTGAGTTTGCTGACCATTCCACACAGTGTGGCTGCTTAGAGTTTCCTGAGAGAGATGCGGTTTGTTTGTAGTGTTACAAGGATTGGATTCAGTCAAATGGAGAGAGAGTAAAATGAGTGTGTGCTAGTCACATATGTGGGCTGTATTAGACTCTGCAACTGGATTTGGGGTTATTTTGAGGTGGTTTTAGACTGTTATGAAGCAGACTAAAAGTTATAAACTTGTCTCTGTGTGACCAACAGAAACAAACAAGACCATTAGCAACAAGATGAATCATTTCTATATTGTAATTTGTAATGCCGGTAAACACTGCTGCAAGATAGGACTTGAAGTGAGGGAACGTACACTGCAGGAACAGCTTGTATTTCCACGTTATAAAAGGCAAAGATTCATAATGAGTGATGCAATTGACTGTTGAAAGAAAGTAGGATGAGATTTTTCGTCGAAAAACACCACCTACACTTGTACAGGGTAAAACTGGAAAAAAAAAAGATACGGCGTGCAGTTTTGACTACAGGAGGTGCTAACAGTTCCCAACTGGAGTTTACAGCCTTGTTACTGCTAATCCACACCATCTCTAAGAATGCTCTACCTTCACAAGACGTGTTTAAGATCTGTCCCCAGAGTACCTCCAGACTCCACTCCACCTAAGGACAGTACGAGCGGTGACCATAGATTAGATACAGCAGAAAAGTGATAATACATTTGTTTTCATCTTCAAAAAAACAAAAAAATCCACAATCCTCTGATCCACAAAAGTCACAACAGGACTTCACTGCATGATCTTGTGGAGTTCCCACATTAATTTCAGATGTTGCGCATCAAGCTGCCTTCAGCTTCGATCTCCTGCACTACTTACAAAGAGGCTGTTTGAAACTTTGCACTGATGAAATGTGGCAAAAAATGTATTTTGGACCCAAAGACAGGACAAAAAAAGATTATTATTTAAGAGACCTATCAAAAAACGGTGATTATTTAAAGATAGGATTCACAAAAACTCCCACTGACTACATTATCTGCACCACCACCCTAAATTATCCAGTGTTTGGAGCCAGATGCTAGATCTCATCCAAGTACATGCTAATGGGTCCAGGACCATCACTTCATGTGGGCACAGAGATATTCATCCATTTCAGCAGCCTGAATCACACAGTAAGATCGCAGAACATCGCCCACACTCCAAAAATAAGTCTAGTGCCTATTTTTAGGCATCCAGCTCTGGTAATAGCCACTGGTGGACTTCCCAGTACAACACAGCATGTCCATGAATCACCTGAAAAAAATCAGGAAAAAAGCTGAATTCACTGAGCTGGACTTAATCATGGTTTCCAGTCCAAACAAGGAAAAGTAAGCATAGGAACTGCTTTAGTTTACATATTTCAGTTTAAATAAAGTTATTGCTAAATTTTTCTTAACTTGAATCAACTAGCTGATTAATTAATCTTATGTAATCAATTACACCTTATACAATCAAGAAAGCCACAAGCAAAACGAATGGACCCTGTTTAAGATTTGACCTGTTTAAGCTAAACTTGTAAATTCAAACCTATAGAGGACGGTAGCACTGGGTTTTATCATGAGTTGGGCACAGTCGTCTCTAGAAATGTTCACTACAGCAAATTAGTCGAAGTTAAGCAACGTCAAAATCTTATATTGGAGTTCAGGCTTGGACTGTAATCCAACCTGTGAAATCTGTAGAAAAATACTGTAGATGTTTTATGTCAAACTTGTATTCCCTCAGAGTGGTGCTGTGCCAGCAGGTGAAAAGTTAGCATAACAATTTGTTCAGTTCAGGGGTAAGCCTTGATCATGTTTATCAAGTTTCACAAAGATTGAACATTCAATAAAGGAGTGAATATAACTTCCTGTTTCATCCCAAGACATGGGAGTTTGACGTACTGAAAAAACGATAGATGAAGTAATCATGTCCTATCAAAGTTGGAAGGCGATCCTGAGAACATATGAAGTGAACGTGTTCAATTGAGGGAGAGAGATACAAAAAAGAGGCTGAAAGTTTTAATACTTAAGAGGCACTGATGAGTGTAAAGCATGCAACGTGTAAGCAAAAGGATTTTCTTATGATTGTCCTCGGATTCAAGTCGTAGCTCAAATCCCGTCTTTATAGAAATGCTTTTAACTGCTGATGAAAATCTTACAGTTTTAAAAGAGGTATGATCTCGCTTAGCACGAGCTAAAATCCTTGCAGCATCGTGATTTGCAAACCGCCTAATTCTGCTTTTATCACAACGATCCATCTTATTGGCATTCAAGTTGGACTAAAATGAGGGTCTCATCAGCATAAAAGCAAATCTTTCATATAGTGGCACCTTGGCTAACATGAGCTTTAGTTATGGGGTGGTTTCAGCTCTAATTGCTGCGGCCTTTTCCCCTGCCTCATATTTCAGTGGATCATAGTAGAGGAACAGTTTGTAGCAGTGGGGGCATAATTAGTGATAGGCCTTGGACATGTCATACTCTGTTAGTCAGCCTCACTTTAATTCCTTTGTCTCTGCTCTGCTTGTAGCATTTACTCAGGCTGTGTGTGTGTGCGTAAGTGTCTTTTGTCCCAGTCAATGTCAATGTATGTGTGTGTATGTGCCTAATATATCCAGTGAATTATATTTGACCCTACAAAAAGCAACATTGTGGTTCCACCTGAAGGGTATTTGATCAGGATGTGAGTTGGTCCTAACATGTCTGTGTTGGTGTATTTTCTAAGATACCTGTAAAAGCAGCCCTTTGATTTCAAAAGAAAACAAACCATCTATTTTGTCTTCATCTTAACAAGAAAAGCTTCAATACTCAGTCAACCTGTGAGACTCATTTTGGCTACAATTAGAGGAAAACCCTTTCAGGCTTTCTATATCCCTTTTTAAGCAGCTCCCTGCAGCAACACAATGAATGAAAAAGGTTTTGTCTGACGCCAAAAAGGTAGACTGCTGATTACTGTCAAAGGATGCTTTTTGGCTTGATGAATGTGTGTCCATGGATGTGTGTGGAGTTTGCATAGAGGTTTCTTAACCCAGGCTCCTGATGTGAGGGTGGATGAAAGCTGCTTTGAGGCTACACTACACGGCTAAGAGGGAAAAGCTCTTCCTCCACCGCCACCTTCTTTTTTGCTTTTCTCCAATTTTCCCCCTCTTGCTACTTCATCTCGCTCTCTCGTTCTCCCGCCGCTATCTCCCCTTCACCGCCTCTCCTCCGCCCCTCTGTTGTTTCCCTATCCAATTTTCCCCATACATCCATCCGACTCTTCCTCTGGAGCCCTTTTCCCCTGCCGGAGCTGTCTTCATGCCTGCACTCATCTATGTCAGCCTCTCTCTGTCCTCCCTGCTTTACTTTTATCCCGTCACTTCTGACCCCTCTCTCTTTTCCTCCCCATGTGAGGCTAGCAGGAGTGAAGGACAAACACAGCGGCACGATGATAAGACTGAGAAACATTCCCAGAATTCAGGGATTACAAGCATGAACTAAAAAAAGTCTGAATCAAGCATATCATTTGTGCTTCAATCACATTTTCTGCATGAAATTTTGACTTTAAACTCCAGTTTGTGAAGCCAGAGTGGCTTTAGCAGCATAACTTATTTTAAGATGTTCATTTTCAAATGTGGAGCACGGGGTTCAGGTGTGTGCCCAGAGCCATTTTAAGAAATTTTCCTCCAGCCACAACCATGGCATCTTCGCAGATAGCAACCCATGTGCGTCTGTTCTTTTATCACGCTCTATAAGCTTTGCAAAGAAGAGAAGACAGAGACAAATCTGCTCTGTTAGAAAATAAAGACATTGGATTATTTGTTAGATAACCCCTTAGCCTCACAATATGTACAAATTCTGTCAGAGATGACCTGGCAAGAGTTGATATGGAAAGTCACAAGTTTTGTTGACCTGATACAGTCATAGTTTAACATTTTAATAAGAATTACTATAAAATCTGGACATAGGTTGCACCGCTCACTCTTTTCCACCTTGTACTCGTTTACATAAGTCACTCTCGGAATCTTTGTATATCACTAATGACCATAAAATCCAGAATATAGGCCCTTTTACTCTTGAAAGCCCTCTAAAGTGACAGTTTATCACAAGAATTACTGTAAAACATGTACAAAATTCACCCCCTCTATACTACTGTAGGCCCTGTAGTCATGCATTATAATGCTAACTCATATAGATTTACAAAAATTACAATTAACTGGAGTTAAAATATATGAATAAACCACAGTTTTATTAATTTACATGCAGGATAATGATTGAATGGGGAAGAAAAACTGAGGAAAATTACAACGCTAGCCTAGTTCGCATATCCCAGCATGATTTAGGGAACAAAACACCTACTTTCTTAATGACTTCCAAATACTTAACATCATAGACTCAGACATCTCTCTGCATTTTTTCCTGTATCATGGTCACCTTGGTTAGTAGCCCATACTTTAGAAGGAAAATTGTTTTAAAAGTCTGCCGTACACACCAGATTTTACGGTAGTATTTATAGAAGTTATGTGTTTGGTAAATAAATAAGCTTATTATATGTTGTTGTTGTATAAATCCTAAGTAATAAATGTTACATCAAGGTTATATTTTTTAGTGCAGCAAACCTTTATTCTTTCCATTGCCCCTCATTAACTCACAGACTTTGGCTCAGACTCCTGATACACATCAAAGTCCACCAGTTGCACAAAGCTTTTTCTGCTCTTGACTATCTTAAGTGGGACTTCTTTTCTGTGGGTAAATTAGGACTGCTTCAAACTCATAAATACGGCCAGCTGAGGTAAAGCTACAGCTTGTGCAACCGATGAAGAATTTTAAAGTTACAAGGACGTTTTAAAGTTCATATTTAGAGGAGAAACAGCAGAAAAGAGAAAGAAAAAGACTCTTTTCATGGGTTACTATGGTCTCTAAAATCTGTCTCCCCTTTCAGTCCTCCTCTGCCAATTTGTGAACAAACCAAAGGTCATGTTTTCCTTTTGTGTGTGAGTTTAGAAAAGAAACAGACCCAGAACAAAACACTTTTTTTGAGTGTGTGTGGGGAGGTTAACTAACTTTTCTAAGCTTGAAAGGTATAGTGCAAGTTTTTTGTGCCAGAGTCTGAATTGATGAGAAAAAATGAAAAGCAAAATTTTGTCATTCACTGAGACACTTTGAAATACCTGAGGGTTCGCAAAAATGCGGACATTCTTGACTCAGGTAGAAGTCGAGATATGTGATTCAGAAAAGAAGCTTTTGAATGTAAGTGATTTTTTTTTCCTTTAGTGGTCCACCAGTTATTTATTCATTTATTTTTTTTATGCAAAGCTTGATGGACTGGTGACATCTGGTTTGTTTTGATGTGTTTTTGTTGTTGTTTTTATCATGTTGCTGGTGTTGGTGGATCAATGAATAACAATCACTTCAGTGTCACTGATCCTTACCAATGATTCAATACACAAAAATATACTTTATACAGGATATGAAAAAGCATGTGGGAGTTAATTACTAAAAAAAAATAAAATAAAAAAAATAAGAATAATGTATATCCCAGTAAAAACAAACTGATACCTGAAGAGAACAGTATTGATGTGATTCTATTTGATTGACTCCCACCTTAGGAAATACCTGACTTGGCATCCTCATCGATCCAATAATTCTTCAGAGATTTCTCCTCAGACATGTCTTAAAAGAGCTGTATCTCTTCCTGCATTCAAGCTACAGCTTGCATCTATCCCATGTGCTCATACCTTTGGTATTATGTGCCTGATTGTAATTCTCCGTCTACTATTTGAAGAGCCCGGGCAGCTTGTTTGCTATTGATTTTATTTACAAGGCTTCTATATTTTACTCGGTGCAAATCAGAGCAATTGTTTCCAAGTGCATGCATGAATCAATGCTTTCCCTGGAGAACCGCGCCGGCGACTGCATGCAGGTCAATACCTCCAATTTATGTTTTAATTACGATGATCTACTAAGTGTTGGAGAGCACGGCCTTGCTCCCACAACCAGGATCAACAAGCACAACAACATGCTTTGTATTGTGCATTGAATTGTACTGTCTGCACAGGTAGAAGGTGACGCCGACAGTGGTTTTTGCATGTTTTTTGCAGATGTTATGCAAGTCTACCAAATATTTTTCCATGCATACAATAGGAAATATGCATACAGATCTTGAAAGCATGCATTTGTTTCCCACATATGAGCATTACGTTGACTTTCAAAAGCCACTAAAATACCACCTAGCAGTTTATTTCATGATTTGCCATCAATTCCAGCCCAGACAGAGTATAAAAACAACAACTGCTCTGCCCTGACAGCCTTGTTTGGCAATGTGGCTCCAGACTGGATTTTATACCCCCTCCATGTTTGTTCTGTGCTGTTTTTGTTTGGCACAGTCGTATATCATTTGATCGCTTGCCATTAGAGGTGATTGCTTAACTCAGTACGCCATATAAGTGGCTTCTGGCAGGCCTGAAAGCCATAAATTTTATTGACTCCTGTAATTAGGACAGATCAATAAAAGGCAGTTTCTTTCACTGCTTCCACAGGACTGTAGTGCTTGCTGCACTTTTCGGAGCCTTGCTTCCGATGCTGTCACTCAATATTGTGATATAAAGCGGCCACAGAAAGCTGGAAAGTGTGTTTTTATGGTTATTTTACAAACAAATGTATAGACACGCAGCAGCGCTCACTGTATCCATCGAGGAATGTGAAGAAAACAACACTATTTCCTGAAAAAAGACGACCACCGGGGTTCCATTCTGTTTCCCCAGATTTTCCTCCATGATGATTTGTTGTTGTTGTTTCATGTTACACCATTTGCAGATGCTCCACCAGTAATACCTATTATAATACAGTAGAAAAAGGGCCCCATAGTGTGTTGCTGTCAAGCCTCTTAAGTTGATAGCTGTGTCTTCGCACACTGCGGGAAGAATCCCTTTCTGTCAAACAACAGCTGGCGAAGACAAGATGATGTGGAGGGCCACGGACGAGTGAGCCATCAAACCTCCATCTCTGACAGAATTTTGGCAAGCCACGTTTCACAAGAGTCTGTCTCACTCTGCCCTGCTTTTATGGTGCATGAATCAATGATAATTGCGCCGTGTTGCAGCATGAATGGTGGAAGTATCCCTGGTGCAGCAACAGTCAAAAATAAAGAGGGGGAGTTTGGAGGGAGGGATGGATGACGGAAGGAATACCCAGAAATTAGCATGAATGGAATGAATCACAGTTCCCCTGGGATTATGATTCATTAGCTGGAAAATGTTCAGTGCAGAAGGAATTGGCAGCAGAGCACCAATAGAGCTAATATAAATTATAAGGAGCGATGAAAAGCAAGGTTACCCTATGGATGACGCACGCTTTTTGTTGACATAGGTCCAAAGAAGAGATGTGAATAGTAACAAATCTACACGCTGCTTTATGATCCAGTCAAGTGTCAAGGGCAAGTGAAAAATTCCCTTAATCTTCGGTATTACCTTTATATTTTACCCAAGCCCGTGTAAAATGTTGCAAATGCTGCACAGATTTGATCAAACAAGCTTCTGAAAAGCTTTCAAGCAAACTGTGAGACCAAATCAAAGCCCAACAACCTTATCCTCAGCTCCATCAGAGCCTAATTCCAAACCAAACCAAGCTCCTATTCTCCTTCCCCTTATCCCCTCTGAAAGGCTCAGTGATTAGAAGTGGACTTTAAGTTGACTATAGCAACCCCCCTCCCACCTAACAGAACCCTTCTCCCCGATGGGGCCGTCTCGAATCCCCCAAAGCCTCAGCGAGTTTATCAGCAGGATCAGAAAGTCTTCCCACCTCTCCACGTCAAACAGCGAGCCCAATGTGCTCCGAGGCCTTTTGGTGTAATCTCTGTGGCTGTCGACAGATCTAGCGAGGGGTCAGCTGTGATAACAGGATCACTCAGGTGGAGACGGGGAAGGAGGGGGGGACTGCCAAAGAAAGGGACAGAAGCTAAAAAGAGAGAAATGTGGGCGAATGCAAGGTGAATTTGGAGCTGGCGGCTCAGAGGAGTAAGGTTTTTTTCTGAAGCAGATGCAAAGCTTCAGTAAGAAGTTACATGCCCACACATGAACTCGTCTGCATGCCAAAGCAAACTAGCCTACTGCTTTTTTTGTAGACAGTAGCTCAGGCTAGAATAACAAATCACTCAAAAACAATTTTAATCTTAAATAAACGTCAAACTCCGCCAATTCCCAAAGCTAAGAATCCAAAAGTGCCCTGGAGCCAAACCAAACCTCAACTCACACAAGTATGTGAGATACTGGAGGCGAAGGAGATGAGTTTTCCAAAACATTTTTCATTCCTTAACCAAAGAGGATTACCAAAAGTGGGCCTTTATCACCATGTTCAGTATTACTATTGAAATAGAGAATGAAAATTACAACCTGCAGTACTTTCCACACCCACAAGGGTGAAATGGCAAACACTTGAACAGCCATTGATGTTAACTGATTGCAGATATGATTAATATTTTCTGCTTCCAGTGTTAAAAATACATCTGTTGTGAGGTTGAATTAACTAACTTAGACGAATATAGCTTGTTTTCGTTAATGAGATTTAAAATCCATCGTCTAATATGTCAAATACAAGCAATGCATCCCTGTAAGAGGCTGAGTTAGTTTAAAATCAGGGTTTATCCTCTCTGCCTCCGTGCTTCTTTCAAAACTCCTACAACTGTGTGTTGATAAAGACACAACCAGCTACAAGGCCAACGTCAGTTTAGCGTTAGTGTAACACTTTTCCATTAGCAGCTCCCTGTCCAAACCTGGTTTTAGCATAGTAAAGAGATTTTGTGAAAGGTTTTTTATTTTTTTTATTTTTTTTTTTGTCTGCATCCTAGACAGATGTCTCTTAAATCTGAGCTTGTCTCTGTCTACTTTTTGAAGGCTATTACACATAATCAACATGTTGCACTGCTCCAGCTTGCAATTGTTGTGAAATCCTTGAAAGCCAAACTCATGATTCGTGGCATCTCTTCCTCTGGAGTAGCCTGGCTGTTACTGTTGCGGGGAAAGACGGATGCATGTGAAGAGATATGCACAGAACTAAATACATATATAAAGAAACCAACAAAAAACGGTTATAGCCAGTCCAAGTCTGAGTCATCAGTGTAAGTATTGGGTCCTGATATTCAGGGCTCAGAAACGACAACACTGCCTAAGAAGGTCCAGAGGAAGGAGGATTTCCAAGTTTCTAAACTGTGTGGCATTTCTGGCTATTGGCCATCTTAATTTTAAGAGATATCTGGTACACTTACATAGGCTGGTCAGTAGATGGCAGTGTCAAGGCTGACTGAGTAGTATCCATTAAGGTAGGGAATATGAAACCATTTCATCAAACCTGTGCATTTAGTCGAATTTATTTTTTTAATAGTTGTTGTGATGCTTTTGCTTTCCAGCACAAAAAAAAGGAAGAAATAACCTTTGTATTAGGAATATAAATAACCGGCAAGTTTGACAGCACACTTTACTTCCTAATATACCAAAAAAAAGAACTTCTGCTGAGAGGAATATAATTGCGTCCAAATTACAGCAAAAATAATGGAAAATTCAATATGGGGTAACAAACTGAGCCCTATTTGGCATGGCTGGATGCCTGACGGAGCAGTGAGGCGCCCTGACAGTGCTACTTTGGCCTGTCTCGCCCGGTCTGCCTCTTGCTGCATCCACTAGCACTCTGACCTGGCATCTTATTAAAACTGCCATCAGCCATAGGGAAGAGGAGGAAAAAAAAACGGCAGCAGTGGACATAAATAGTGGAAATAAATGGAGAAAGTGAAAGGTCATAGAAAAGTGACAAGCTACAGTATCAATTTTCCGCTTGGGCATCCAGCTGACACACATAAGCCATTACTTACACCCTTTCAAACATATGAGAATATAAGTTTTACAAACATATTTTGTATGCAAACAGACACGCCAACATTCATAGACTCCTTTTCTCTCTCTCTCTCTCCGTCTCTCTCTCTCTCTCTCTCTGACACACACACGCTGAGAGGCAGCATGGTAGGCAGTGACACAAAGCTAATGCCTTGTCACACAGGCTGTCAGCAGATTAGCCAGTGGATTACACCCCAGCCATTAGATGTGCACAGAGCGAAAGGCCACAAACATGGCAAAGAGGGAGAGAGGAAAGGAGGAGAGAATGAGGCTGGCATATTCTGCATGGGAAAAGTGGAAAGCGTTACAGTGGATGAAAGGATAAAAAAAGAGGACGGCTGGTTAAGTAGTGCATAAGAAGAAGTCAGAGTGACACAGAGGAGAGGCTGAAAACGAAGATGTAAGGATAAGAAAGGGGGGATTGGGTCAAGAAAATTTGCAGCCGGAGCAGAGGTAACAAGATAATCAGACGGAGTGGGCAGGAAAGGTAATAACAACTGTGAGGGGGGCTGGGAGAAAGGGATGAGGAGAAAAATAGAAGAAGAGAAGTGGAGAGGTGGAGAAGTTTGCAGTGTGCAAGTGGAAAAAGCAACTAAACAAATGGAGGAGTGGTGGTGATAAGAGGAGAGGAAGGGGAAAGAGGATGCTAGAAAAACCGAAATAGAAGGAAAAGAGGGAAAGAGATGGGAATAAAAAAATAAAAAAAAAACAAGTGCAGAGATAAGAAGGAAGAGATGGGATGTGAAGCATCTGAGAAGAGGATGATGAATACTCGGCAGTGTGTTACATACACACAGCACGCTGACAGGGAAAATAGATGGTAGACAGTGAAAGATGAAGAGTCTGGCAGAGAAAATATACAGTTGGATTGCATGAAGGACAATGGGATGTACCAACGCATTTCCAAACACAGCTCTTCAAATGCTACAACTGTTCTGCTCAAGATAGCAGTCTTCTACATCCAGTAAAACCTGGGTAGAAGTCTGACTGTAGTTCCTCCAGTGTCCACTTGGGGCTCCTCATCAACACCAAAACAAAATCTTAACTTTTACAGTAGAATTATGTATGTTTAAAGCCAAGTTCAAACAAAAAAACTGCTTATTTATATCATCATGCACACAATACTGGTGATTCATTTTAATATGACTCAGCAGATTTGAGAGTATCAAGATTGACAACTCAACACCTTAAGTAATGTATCACTCTGGCCACAGAGGGCGCAAAAATACACACAAATGGAAAATTCCTCACAGGAGTTTTTACCAATTTTTTATACTTCAAATTTTTGTACCAAAACCCCAAAGTTTTCGGCACAAAAAAATCCCTATTTCGACTAAAACTCACAAACTGCGGACCTCGTGAGAGGCTTAAAAAGACACACTGCTACTTGTCAAATATGGACAAGCTGCTTCCTTTAGACATTACAAACTGCAGATGGCAGCAATGATGACAGCAGTATCTGAAACTTTTCAAGCACTTATCTCTTCAACTTTTTACCACAACACTTTTGTACCACCATCTGCCGACTAGAAAGAAATAAAGTCAGATTCTCCCTGCATTATGAGACAATATCACCAAGGCTTTTTTTTTTCCTTCTTTCCTTTTTCAATCAGTCTCCGGTTTCTCGTGGCGAGTGTCAGGCCCTCTCAGTTGGTGTTTCATTTTATGATAATCTCCTTCAATGCCGCTACCTTCGCCACCTACAGCTTCCCCCCAACCACAAAACCACTTTGCAAATGTAATGACATGTAATTGTCTGCTGGATTTGCCTGTAAGGAGCTTCATTCAAGCTGGTATTTGTGCAAGAATGGAAAGGGGGAAGATGTCAAGCTAACGGGGGCTAATGGGAAACTGTGATATCCTTTCAGAGTGGCAATTGTGTTTGGAAATGCCATGAGAAGCATGTCATACCGTGTTCACACAGAAGGCATATGTTTAGGGTATAAATTGCATGTATTGTATACCTCTGAGAACACAGCAGCAGAGTCAGTGATTATTCTTGAGGTGAGAAATGCTTTGCGTGTGCATTATTTGTGTTCACGCATGCATACATACATGCAAGTACATGTGCGTGCATGTGTGTGTGTGTGTTTGACAGTCAGGCTGATGTCATTCAGGATGCTTTAGCTGGTTGAGTGATTTGAATGTGTTGTGCAGAATGAGCCGAGTCTCAGAAGTGCCGGAGGGAGATTGAGAGGAGGTTTAGATAGGGTGGGAGTGAGTGAACGTGTGAATCCCTGTGGGAGATTTTAGACTGTTTATGATGAAAAGCCTTTGTATGCACACATAAACTCGTGTGCACACATGTAAAGAAAGAATAAAAGATAAAGAGGGGATAGACAGAAAAAAAGATGTGACTCACTTTACACAGTGGCTCATAGTTCACAACCTATAAAAGCTAATTCTGCACTGGCCTATCAATAGCCATCTCATACGGGAGCCATTCCACCTTTTAAACTCTCCTCTCACTTAAAGCGGCCCAGATGTAAGTCAAGGGGCTGCTTTGGATTAGCCAGAGAGGAAAACTCATTTCCTTTGCCTTTTTACGAGCATTTAATTTGAAACAATTAAGATATTACGGTGCCGCGGATTCACTACACAGAGTGACAGCTGGGAGCAATCCCATAAACCCCTGAGCCAGTGAATGAGGCACCTTGCTACTCTCTTTCTCTCCTCCTCCTCCTCCTCCTTCTTCTTCTTCTTCTCCTCTCCCTGTGTTTTCATTCAAGCATTTCGCTTCAGGCTCTGCTGAGGTGAGTGTGCTACCTTAGCCTCAGCTGAGTTCTCGCTGCAATCGCCAATTACTTTAGCAGCTCATAAATGCACCAGTTGGCTGATGATAGAATGGCCTAATTTCCCAAGACTAAGAGGGAGGAAGTGGGCGCAGAGAATGTTTACCTTCTGGATGGCTTTTATTGTGTTATTGAATTTATGGCACAAGTTGTGTGACTCATCTGTGGAGGGTGATGCAAACTAGGGGGCAGCAAA